TGTTTCCAGGAATTCATCCATTTCTTCTGGGTTGTCAAATTTGTTGCGTATAGCTTTTCATAATATTCTCTTGTAATTGTACTTCTGTGGTGTTGGTATTTCTCCTCTCTCATCTGTGATTTTATTTTGGTCCTTTCTCTTTTCTTTCTGATAAGTCTGGCTAGGGGTATATCAATTTTATTTTTTTTCAAAGAACCAGTTGCTGGCTTAATTGATCTCTATTTTTTTTTAGTTTATCATTTATTTCTGCTCTAATCTTATTTCCCTCCTTTTGCTTTCTTTAGGCTTCATTTTTCTTTTTCTAGCTCCTTTAGGTATAAGGTTAGGTTGTTTATTTGAGATTTTTCTTACTGCTTGAGGTAGGCCTCTATTACTATATAATTCCCTTTTAGGGTCACTTTTGCTGCATCCCAAAGGTTTTGGACCATTGTGTGTTCATTTTCATTTGTTTCCATGTATTTTTTAATTTCTTCTTTGATTTCCTGCTTGACCCATTGTTTACTAGACTGTTGTTTAACCTCCACATATTTGTGGTCTTTCCATATTTTTTCTGTGGTTGACTTCAAGTTCTGTAGCATTGGGACCAGAAAATATGCATGGTATGATCTCAATCTTTTTGTACTTGTTGAGACCTGATTGTGACATAGTTGTGATCTATTCTTGAGTATGTCCTGTGTGCACTTGAAAAAAAAAGTGTGTATTCTGCTTTAGGATGGAATGTTTTGAATGTATCTGTTAAGTCCATCTGGCCCAGTGTGTCATTCAAAGCCATTGCTTCCTTGTTGATTTTCTTCTTAGATGATCTGTCCTTTGATGTAAGTGAGGTATTAAAGTCCCCTGCTATTACTGTATTGCCATCAGTGAGTTCCTTTGTTTGTAATTGTTTTATATATTTGAGTGCTCCCACTTTGGGGGCATAAATATTTACAATTGTTAGATCTTCTTGGGCGCCTGGGTGGCTCAGTTGGTTAAGCGACTGCCTTCGGCTCAGGTCATGATCCTGGAGTCCCGGGATCGAGTCCTGTGTCGGGCTCCCTGCTCAGCAGGCAGTCTGCTTCTCCCTCTGACCCTCCTCCCTCTCATGCTCTCTGTCTCTCATTGTCTCTCTTGCAAATAAATAAAATCTTAAAAAAAAAAAAATTAAAAAAAAAACAAAAAAAACAATTGTTAGATCTTCTTGTTGGTTAGACCCCTTTATTATGACAGAGTGCCCTTCATCTCTTGTTACAGTCTTTGGTTTAAAATCTAGTTTGATATAAGTACTGCTACTCTGACCTTTTTTTTTGACACTCATTTGCCTGATAAATGTTTCTCTATCCCCTCACTTTCAATCTGCAGGTGTCTTTAGGTCTAAACTATGTCTCTTACAGGCAGCATATAGCTGGGTCTTGTTTTTGTATCCATTCTGACACCTTGTCTTTTGATAGGAACATTTAGTCCATTTACATTTAGGGTAATTTTTGAAATGTATTTAGTGCCATTTTATGGTTTTGTGGTTGTTTCTGGAGTTTTTCTCTGTTCCTTTCTTTGCTACTTTTGGTCTGTCCACTCTGAGTCCCCTTCAATATTGTTTGCAGGGCTGGTTTAGTGGTCATGAACTTCTTTAGTTTTTGTTTGTCTGGGAACCTCTTTATCTCTCCTTCTATTCTGAATGATAGCCTTGCTGGATAGAGAATATTCTTGGCTGCAGATTTTTCCCATTCAGCACTTAGAATATATCATGCCACTTTCTTCTGGCTTGCCAAGTTTCTGTTGAAACATCTGCAACTAGATTTATGGGTCTTCCCTTGTAAGTTAGGGACTTCTTTTTATTGCTGCTTTTAGGATTTTTTCTTGATCACTGTGTTTGCAAATTTAGCTACAATATGTCTGGGTGTTGGCCTGTTGTTGATTTTGATGGGAGTTCTCTGTGCCTCCTGGATCTGGATGCCTGTTTCCTTTCCCAGATTAGGGAAGTTTTCAGCTATTAACTCTTCAAGTAAATTTTCACCCCCTTTCTTTCCCTTCCTCTTCTGGGACTCCTAGGATACTGATGTTACTGCATTTGATGAAGTCATGGAGTTTCCTAAGTCTAGTTTCATCCATAATTGTTCTTTTTCTCTTTTGTTCAGCTTCATTATTTTCTATTTTATCTTCTGTATCACTTATTCAGTCCTCAGCTTCTCCAGCCTTGTTCAGTGCGTTCAGTCTGTTTGTATCATCAGTTACTGCATTCTTTAACTCTTTCATCTCTGTGGTAAGGGCCTCCCTGAAGTCTTCCATTCTTTTCTAAAGCCAGTGAGTATCCTTACAATTGTTGTTTCAAATTCTCCATCAGGCATGTTACTGACCTCTGTTTCACTCAGATTTGTGGCCCTGAGCTTATCTTGTTGTTTCATTTGGGAGGAATTCCTCAATCTTGACATTTTGTCTAACTCTGTCTTCTGTGTTAGAAGAGCCTGTTAGGCTTCCTACTCCTGAGAATAATGGCTTTATGAAGAAGGGGTCCTATGGTGTCCAGGGCCTGGCCTTTTGGGTGTCTCTGGCATGTGCTGCGTGCACTCTGCTGCTGTGTACTGGCTTCTCTGTCCTTCAGGCCAGCGTCTGCAGACGCTCCTTGCCTGCAGTGGGCAGTGCTTGGTCCTTAGCCAGAATGTGGTGGGTTTTAACTAGGTGTGCTCTGGTCGCCTGTCAAATGAGACCTGATGTTATTTCCACTAGAACAGAAGCCTTGAGAACTCTCTGGTCAGGAGATGTGGTGGTGGTGGTGTGGGCGTGGGGGTTTCCACTGGTCTTCTGGGGAAGGGTAACTGTGCACTGGGCCTGAGGCATACTCGCCCAAGGAGGGCAGTCCGAGCAGGGCACGGGGTGGGGGTGGGAGAAGCTGCATTTGTTTTCATCTCAGGAAACCTAGAAGTCTGTTCAGCTTATAGATATGGCCTGTCCAAACCATTAAAGCCACAGAAAAATACTCTTTTCTCCCCATATAGATAAAAATAGGGAATTGACATATTTGATCTGTGTAATACAGTGTGCTTCTAAAGTTACATTTGAAATATTCAACTCAACATATTTTGGAATAAATTATTTTAAAAGGTCCTTTCTAAGTAAATTTTTTGATACTTTCTAAAAAAATCAAAAGCGTGTACCTAAAGATTGCTTTCTATTATTCCACTCAGAATTGTCAAAACAGGAACAAAAGACTTATTTTCTTAACTCTGATATCATTATGTGTCTGAGTCCATTGTTTTCAGTTATAGCCAGCAGCTTCATTTTCCAGAAGAAGAAAAACTGAAAAAGGCACTCCACTCCCAGACCTTCTCTTAAAAATACAGCGATGTCCACTGAGGCCAGACAGCTTCTTGACTTTTCATTTGACAGATGGTGCTTAACAAAATGTGACCAAGTAAAGAGGCTATGTGCTTTGCTTTAGTGAATGAATTAAAAAGTATTGGTATTGGGGATGCCTGGGTGGCTCAGTCGTTAAGCGTCTGCCTTCGGCTCAGGTCGTGATCCCAGGGTCCTGGGATGGAGCCCCGCATCGGGCTCCCTGCTCAGCGGGAAGCCTGCTTCTCCCTCTCCCGCTCCCCCTGCTTGTGTTTCCTTTCTTGCTGTGTCTCTCTCTTAAATAAAATCTTAAAAAAAAAAAAAAAAAGTATTGGTATTATATAGCTTTAAGAGAATTCTTGAGTTTTGAAAAACCATTCTTTCATAAAACATTCTCCCCATAAATTGTTAAGTACTATTTGCTTATTTATTAAACTTCTGCCAGTTCCTAGAAGAGTTTAGAATTAAGGAAGTACAGATCAATGAAGTCTTGTAATAAGTGTAAGAAAGTTGCATCAAGAAAGTAGATTATGGGGGCGCCTGGGTGGCTCAGTTGGTTAGGCCTCTGCCTTTGGCTCAGATCATGATCCCAGGATCCTGGGATCCAAGCCCCCAAATCTATCTCCCTGTTTAGTGGGGAGCCTGCTTCTCCCTCTCCCTCTGTCCCTCCTCCCTGTTTAGGCTCGCTCTCTCTACCTCTCTCTCTCTCTCAAATAAAATCTTTTTTAAAAGTAGATTATGCCATAAAATTCTATTTTTTAAAAACTATGCTCCACACTCAATATGGGGCTTGAATTCAGTATGCTGAGATTGAGTCACATGCTCTCCTGACTAAGCCAGTCAGGTGCCCCTATGTCATAAGATTCAGCAACAAGAATGTCATGAATGATGTTGCATGTACCCAGCATGATTGTTAATTCTTTTCATTGTGTTAGAAGTTTCACTGAATCATCATTTGGGGAGGATTTTCTTTTTTCTTTTTTCAAAATTTATTAGAGTGTGCGAGCATGAGTGGGAGGGGCAGAGGGAGAGGGAGAATCTTTTTTTTTTTTTTAAGATTTTATTTTTTTGAGAGCGAGAGGGAGAGCATGCATGCACAGAGGGAGAGGGAGAAGCAGACTCTCCATTGACCAGAGAGCCTGACATGGGACTTGATCCCAGGACCCCAAGATCATGACCTGAGCTGAAGACAAGATGCTTAACCGACTGAGCCACCCAGGCACCCCTTCAGAGAGAGTTGTAAGCAGACTCTGCACTGATCTCACAGCCCTGAGATAAAGACCTGAGCCAAAACCAGGAGTCAGATGCTTAACTGCCTGAACCACCCAGGTGTCCCTTGGGGAGGATTTTCTTTACTTCTGGTAGGACCACTTTATACATTTATAGATCTAAAATGGAAGTCTTCTGTTTGATTCCAGAGCTTACCTTTTTGAAATTATATTTGGAATAGTCAATTAAACATATTTTGGAATTTGGTCATTAAATGATAATTCCTAAGTGTTTATTTTTCTGATCCTTAAAGATTCAAAGTTGTGTGCCTGAGAACACAGATGTCCTGTATTTCATATCCTACATACCTGTACAGAATATCTGGTGTTTGATATATACCAAAAACTGGCTGGGGGAGGAAGGGCAGGGGACTTGAGAAAGTAGGAGCCCAAGTTAACCCATGCTTCCTATGTTCCTCCCTCCAGGTCTACCCCACGATGATACGCGCTTTGGGGATGGGGACCAGTGGTTCCCTGTGTCGGATTGGTGCGATGGTGGCACCGTTTATATCCCAGGTACAGCCCAGGAGTCTCTGTAGGGGGGGTGAGTCTAAAGGAGATGGGAAAAATGGGACACTGGGTTCCTTCAAGTTAAGGGTTTAACTGGGGATTTCTGTTTAGGTAACGAGTTTTCTTGAGGGGTTGTTTTCCCATTGTTTGGTGAATTTGGGCAGGGAAAGAGCCTAAGTAAACATTTCCAGGCTTGTAGTTGGTCAATAGCATGTATTTCATTGTGTGCAGGGTTTGGATTTTGTTGGGCATTGTTGCAGTAAGATGGAAAAGAAATGGAGGACACGAGGAGCTTGAGCAGTTGAATGAGAATGGGTCTGAACCCTGATCCTGTCCAGGGGTGAAATTGAGAAACAGAGCATGGAAGTGCAGGGAGGGTGAGTCTAGTGCTAGGGCAAACCAGGTATGGGCTGGGATAAAATCCAGGGGTGGCCTGGACTCATGGATGCACCCTTGTTTCTGGAGGGAAACAGGCAGATATGGTGACTAACGTGGTCATGTTTCCTCAGAGGGACTGAACACTGTACTGGTCCTTCTCTTTTTGGCCACAGAAATGGAAATCCACCTGAGCTGGCTGCAGTAAAAAGATGGAGTGAGCCTAGGCTCTGGGAGGGTCTGATCCAAGCAGTGGAGGTGATAGGGACCCAGGCCCTTTCTTCCTGTCTGTCTGGGTCCGTGGTCACTCCTTCACCTTTCTGAGCATTCAGGCTTTCCTCTCCCTGCAGACCAGTGTGCTATGCTTGTCTGTGTACTCGACCATCCCAGGAATCCCAAACGTGGATCCTTAGATCCAGCCACCAGAAGACATGGATGCACTCTCTCTGCATCCCTGAAAAGGGACTCTCACTAGCCAGGTCTGGTCGGATGGTCATACTTGAGCTCAACCAGTTGTGGCCAGGAGTCAAGGTTATCTTACACATGCAGTTGGGAAAATGCAGTTTTCAAAGGAAGGGGGTTGTTGTGGGCCAAGCAGACTGTCAGGTGTATTTCCTATAATGTAACACATTTTGCTACCACTAGACGGTTATTCATTTGTTTTTATTCTTGGAGTGCTTTTCCCCACTCACCTTAAGGAAAAATGAGGGCAGCTTTTGTCTAGTGGTTTTCAAAGTTTTTTTTATCCTGCTTTTACCATTTTCAGAAAAAAAACATAGTGGTAAAAAACAGAAGTAAAATATTAATCCTATTTCTGGATGATCTTATTTTCTGATCTTTAGGTAGAAATTGTATCTCTCTTTCAACCACTTGAAACCTGTCTTTTGGGTATTTGTGGGTATTTACCCTAGAAGCCACACAGCTTTTGGTGGCTTTGTGGATCAGGAAAGATCACCAACTGGGTCCAGGTCTTCTGGGGCCATAGGCTCTGGTCTGCTTAGTGTCCTGCAGCCAGTTAAATCACTCCTCTCTCTATGTCCCCCTCATTTGTAAAATAAAGATCAATAATAGCACCCACCACATAGGTTTGTTTTGAGTATTAATACATGGAAAGATTAATACATGGAAAGCACTGGGCGCCTGGGTGGCTCAGTTGGTTAAGCGACTGCCTTCGGCTCAGGTCATGATCCTGGAGTCCCTGGATCGAGTCCCGCATCGGGCTCCCTGCTCGGCAGGGAGTCTGCTTCTCCCTCTGACCTTCCTCCTTCTCATGCTCTCTGTCTCTCATTCTCTCTCTCTCTCAAATAAATAAATAAAATCTTAAACAAAACAAAACACATGAAAAGCACTTAGCCCAACATTGGACACATAGTAAACACTCAATAAATGTTACCTAATAGCAATGATCACTGATAATGAAGGCCAAATGCTAAATATTCAAATGAATATTTCTCAGTAACAAAAATACTTCTAAGTCCAGTATTTTGATCACGGTGCAATTGGGATGTTTTGCTTTCTTAACAAATTTGGAATGGGCGGTCAGAATCCGAGATCTATTCGCTCCCAGGATATTTGCTTGGGTTTGGGGTGGGGTGAGCGGCTCAAGCAGATAGGAAGGCCTTGGCCTTACTCTTATCAGCTCTCAGGAGCTGATCATCTGCCTGCCTTCCCTTGGACGTGGTTCTCAAACTTGAGCGCGCATCAGAATTACAGGGCGTAACTGGATAACAAGATTGCTGGATTCCACCCAGAGACTGGTGCTGCGTATGGGTCCACCAGTGTAGTTCTAACAAGTACTCCCAACGAACCTGATGAGATTGGCTTGTGGACTGAATTCTGGGAGGCCAGGCCATCCACAGGGAAAATACCCGCTGGGAGATAAGCTTTACTTTCACTTAATTCTTCCTCTTCCTCCTCCCCTTCCTCTCCTTCCTCTTTTTGCCCTGCATTTAGGAACCTCTTATAATGATACATTCAACAAGTTGACTTCAAAGTAGTTGTCTGCAAATTCTACATACAGTTTGGCAGTTAAAATACCAAAAAAAAAAAAAAGGACTCAACTAGCTACAATCTCTATCTCCTAGAATAGAATTAAGAGTTGTTTTATTCCAATTCAACATTCAGTCACCATTTATTGCCCACTTACTCTGTGCCTGGATTCAGTTCCATTTATTGGTAGCTGTAAAGAAGCCAGACGAGGTTCCAGTGGTGGGTCGGAGCTGGTCTGCACTGGCTTGTGCAAACGAACTGTTAAGTTTTCAAGCAATTTTGCAGGCTGGTTGATGTCACATCGGATCTTGAAATTACCCACGGTGGTAGTATTTGTACCATGGACATCAGGAAATGGTAGGAGAAGACTTTCGGGGGAAGGCTGTTGTTTGAGCATTTGGCAACACAGCACCACAAGATTCTCGCTCTCAAGAGACTGACGTTCAAGTTGCAAATTTACCAATATGCAAATAATTAAGATAATTTCACATTATATAAGTGCTTTGGAGGTAATATGATAGTGAATCAAAGTGGTGACAGGTCTTTTTGGGCAAAACCTCTCTGGCAAGGTGACATTGGAGTCGAAACCTGAAATAGGAGTTGACAACTGACAAAGAGAAATCACATTTCAAGTAGGATGCCTGCTGGTACAGGGGCCTGGAGATGCCATTGAGATACGTATGTTCCAGGAACAGAAACTAGCTGTGACGAGCAGAACAGAGACATGTGCAGGGAGAGAAAGTGCTTTATAGGCATCGTGAGGACTTGGGAGTTTTTCCTGAGGAGTAGTGGGAAATAACGTAAGGGTTTTAAGCGGGTAAGTGACATGATCAGTTTTGCCTTTTGAAAAGAGCACTCTGGTTGCTCTATAGTGAATTGTGGGGGTGGGTAGGGCCAGGGCAGAACAAGCTTATGGTAAGACTTTAATCTCACGCTGCCATGCCCTCCGGTGAAATGAGATTTTAGAATTCTGGAAACTGTTTCTCTTAGAAAGATCAAGGAAGAAACTTCGTCAAAAATTTACATTTCTGCCCAGAAAAAAAAAACTACCATAAATAAGGCTGAAAGCCAAACATTTATCTTTCAGGGCTCTCAAAAAGCCTGAATTGCATTGTCCCAGCTAAGCAGTGATTTTTGTTGTCCTATCAGATACCTGACCAGCTACATGGAAACCCAATGAATCAATGCATAAGATTGTATACAGCACTTCACAAGTTAATGGGAATGAAAAAATATGCATTTTATATTTTCATAAGTGATTTCTAATAAGCAATACTTTTTAAAAAGATTTTATTTGAGTGAGAGCATGAGTGCGGGGCTGGGGGAGGGGGTGGAGAAGCAGACTCCCTGCTGAGCAGGGAGCCAGAAGGGGGGCTCGATCCCAGGACCCTGGCATCATGATCTGAGCCGAAGGCAGACGCTTAACTGACTGAGCCTCCCAGGTGCCCACACTAATAAGCATTACACTTACTGAGAAACTGTACATGTATATTGTCAAAAATAAACAATGCTGGACACTAGTTAGAGGGACAAGGACATATTTTGGTCAGTAATAACTATTGCAATAGGGAAAAAGAGCCTAGGGCAAACGGAATTCAAATTTTGTTTGCACAGGGGTGACGCGTTTTACAGGGAGAATGCGAGGGTGGGATAATAGAGTAAGGGAAGTGAAAAATTGCAAAAAGTGGAAAGGAGGGGTTTGGCCCATGTGAAACCCAGACAAAGGTCCTATCTCCAGGTGTTGACTAGAACAAACAGTAAATTTGGGGGGCAGACTTGAGTTTCTCATGTAGGCACATGAAGGGAAACGGAGGGTCATCCTGGGGATGTGGCCTTCAGCTGTTAGAAACTGAGCTAGTGTTTGTTCTGGTCTTTTATAGACCAAGGTTGGGGCCCGGGTGAGAAGAGGCTTAGAGCAGTCTGGCTAGAGTTTGGTCAAGGAGAGGGTCTTTGTCAATGTTTTGTGGGTCATAAATAGGCTTGTGTTTATTGTGTTTTCAATGGCTTGATTTCCATGTGATTTTTTTCTTCTACACGAAAACACAGAAAATTACAAATTTGAGTTAAAATTTCACTACCTCCTATTTTATCTGAGATAACAAAAATTTATTTTTTTCATTTTTAAGTTTAAGAGAGTGCAAGCTGGGAGAGGGACAGAGAGTGAGAGAGAGAGAAGCAGACTCCTGCTGAGAGTGGAGCCTGATGTGGGGCTCAATCTCATGACCCTGAGATCATGACCTGAGCCAAAATCAAGAGTTGGACTCTTAACTGAGCCACCTGGACACCCCACAAATACAAATATTTTAATGAAGTTCTTTCACGCTGACTGTATGTATGTATGAACGAACATGTGTATATACATGTATATACATTGTACCTAAATATCACAATTCATATACTTTTTAAAATTGAGATATAAATGACATGTATAACATGCTAGTTTTAGGTGTACAACATAATGATTGGGTATATGTATATATTATGATCACCACCGTAAGTGTAGTTCACATCCATCACAAATTTTTCTTGTGATGAGAATTAAGATTTATTCTCTCAGCTACTTTTGAATATACAATATGGTATTATTATAGTCCCCATGCTGTATATTATATCCCCGGGAATTATTTTGTAACTGGAAGTTT